GGAGAGATGCATATCAATGTGAATATTGGGCAGAACAGCCTAGAGGAAGAATTCAGCAGAGGCAGTTCAAAAGTGAAAATTGGACTGAACAGCCTATTAGAGAAAGACAACATCATCATAGGCAGTTCAAAAGTGCAATACAGGGTGCTGCCACATCAGTTAAACAGCCACAGAACACTTGGACAGCAAAGAACAATACCGAGGAGTCTGAATTTTGGTACTACACACATGAGGAACTGAGATGCAAACCTGTTGAGTGCCCTATAATTTTAGGAGATCATATAATCAATGCAAAACAACTCATCATTGAGAAAGACAGTGGAAATCATGCAAATTTTGACAATGCCAAATCAGCTTGGGATGAATTTGTTGAATGGGATGGTGAAGAAGGTGAGACACTGGAGGAAAACTCAACTTTATCGCTTGAAGAATTTGATAAAAAGGACGAGGAACATAAAGACAAAATTTCTTTGGTGAATGATGCAATGGAATCGAATATCGCAGCAACTGAAAATCAATCAGCATAGAACGAAGCTGAGATTGAAGAGGACAAAAAAGAGGAGGACAAATCTAAGGAAGAAATTAGCAACTTGTCTAAAGTTGAAGAAGTTGTCACAATTCAACCTGCTCCACATGGAACTCTAGCTGCAAATCTGAATAAGGCATCTGCTGTCAAGAGCATGGATTTCCGTCCAGTGCAACAAACTCTGTTTCTTGTTGCGACGAATGTTGGTGATGTTGCATCATGGGAAGTTGGTGGTAGGGAGGAGTTTGCTTCTAGAAATTTCAAGGTCTATGACATTGGATGATGTTCAATGACTTTGCAGGCATCTTCTAATGAGTGTGCTGCGTCAGTGGACAGAGTGATATGGTGTCCTGATGGCATCCTTTTGGGTGTAGCAAATTCCAAGCACACTTTGGAGAAATATTCCTATCATGCTGGTGAGGATATACAAAACAATCTAGAGATTAATGCTCATGTTAATCCTGCTTTCTCTAATCCAAGCCAACAGTTATGCTTCATAACTTGTGGAGAGGACAAGACAACCAAGGTTTGGGATGTTGCTACTGGTTCTAAGCAATACACTTTTGAGGGTCATGAGGACGCTATTTATTCTGTATGCCCATACAATAAGGAAAATTTTCAGCGCATATTTTTAGCAGCTATTGAGAGAAAAAAGAATAAATCTGATTTGTCAACGTCTTCTCACGGAGGGGAATCTGAAGATATAAACGTTGAACTTCATATGGTATGTGGTACAACAGGTATTACATTAGATTTTGGTTGCTTGAATAACTTGGTTAGTAATGAAGCTTCTTTGTTCTTGGAGTTGAAAAATCATGAATTCCGTATTCGTGATATGACTTGGGATGACTTGGGATGGATTCTTAAAGCGACATGTGGCCCGATGTTGCAATGCAAAAATCAGATTAATTCAGGCCTTGGTTCCTGATTTCTTGTCAAGCAGGTTTTGGCAATCTGCTAAATTTCAAAAGAGAGCTGGGAAAGTTCATTCAAAGGTATTCTTTGTCAGCGACAGAAGCTTATTTTGCTTTGCTCAAGTAAGGAAACGAAGAAAGAAATGATGGAAGGCTTTACTCAGATTCTTCATTGATCGTGGTAAATTGTTTCAAACTCGAGGTTGAGTTTTCTTCAAGGAGGAGGGTCTGATGCAAATTATTAAGGGTACTTATAGTCAGGATTGAGGCAGTCAATGATGCCTTGGAAAGTGCCTTGAAGAAAAGTCAAAGAGTCCTTGTTTTACTAAGCTTTGGAATTACCAAGTACACTTACGAAAGTGGTAAAGACTTATTAATGTTGTGTGGGAATTCTAAGAGTCATTCTAGGAAAAGTCAAGTGTCATTAATAGTAGTATTATAAAAGGGACAGGCCTCTATGTTTGCTGTAACCAAGTCTTTATTAATATATTTTGAGATTATTATCAGTTATAACAATTCTTAAGGCTTTCCCCCAGATTTCCCTTTAGAAATCTAGGCTTCGACGGTGATTGGAGTATTCTTAGTCTCCCTTACAGTTGTAAGAATACTTGTTTCTTATTCTGTTTGCTTTAGAATCTGCAAACTAATGGAAGCAAGTTCTGGCCGAAGTTCGGAGAGAAATTTTGCTACCCGAAATTCCTCTTTGTGTTGTTTCTAGGTCTTTAAATCTGTAGTCAAAGGCTGATAAACATTAAACTCTTCCCACATACCTTTCAGTTCTGAATAATATTCTTCAACCGAACGATCACCCTGTTCAGGAGAAAAGATATCTTGGTACAACTAGTAGATTCGAGAAATATTTTTTTCTGACGAGTACATTTCTTTGAGAGCATCCCAAATCTCCTTAAGACTCTAGAAACGAGACATTATTGAACACCTCTAGTCCAAACTATTCCATAACCAGGTCATAATCTTTGCATCCTCTTGTTCCCATGCGTCAGTCTGTTTTTCCTCCTTGGGCTTGGGTGACTTGATATAGGAAAGTTTCCCATGAGCTTTTAAAAAAACTTGGATTGCTCGAGACCATTGAAGGTAATTGGACCCTTTAATTTGGTAGTAGTCATGAACCGTGTTGGGGCAACGGAAGTGCGCGAATAAATAAAGCTCAATGAAAGCCAACAAAGCAATCACATACAAACACAAGATATACTTGGTTCAGCCAAAACCGCCCTACGTCCATGGATGAGAAGGGATTCCACTATGATTCTTAGAGATATTACAACAATAGAGTACCAACACCACCACTCCACGAGCCTATTTCCTCTCTACCAGCGTCACCGGTGTTTTTCCTACTCTACCAACCCGCATACTACCTCTATCCATCAACTCCCTCACGAGACTACATCTCTCAATCTCATAAGTCTCAACCCATAACCTAGGTGCCTATTTATAGAGTTACAAACTCAATTCCTTGTTCAACAAGGATTACTTGCTTAATAAGAAATTTCCTCAAAAAATACAACTCTAAAATAGAAAACCTAATTAGAATAGGAATTTGAGACACAATTTCCAACAATTTCCACCTTGGCTCAAATTCCATCAAGCCAATCATCGCTCCCCATAGCATTGATCAAAACAATTCTTTTGCTGCTTCAATCTTGACGATACTCCTGCAAAACTCTGATTGTCCATATTATACGTTGCTCGATCAGTCAAACCTCCAAGGCTCCACCTTGACTACTCGAGCTCCATGCCATGTAACCAAGCTGATTGACTCCACCTACAACTGAAGCCCTTTGTAGCACATGTTGAGACTTCTTGTGTTTTCTAGATTTCCTTCACCTTTGGCTTTGATACCAATTTGTTAGGGCAGCGGAAGTGCGTGAATAAATAAAGATCAATGAAAGCCAACAAAGCAAGCACGCACAAACACAAGATATATATGGTTCAGCCAAAACCGGCCTATGTCCATGGATGAGAAGAGATTCCACTATGATTCGTAGAGATATTACACTAATAGAGTACCAACACCACCACTCCACAAGCCTATTTCCTCGCTACCAGCGTCACCGGTGTTTTTCCTACTTTACCAACCCGCATACTACCTCTACCCATCAACTCCCTCACGAGACTAAATCTCTCTCAATCTCATAAGTCTCAACCCATAGCCTAGGTGCCTATTTATAGAGTTACAAATTCAATTCCTTGTTCAACAAGGATTGTTTGCTTAATAAGAAATTTCCTTACAAAATACAACTCTAAAATAGAAAGCTAATTAGAATAGGAATTTGAGACAATTTTTAACAAGCCGAAAAAGAGAGTCCTTGTTTTCCGATTTGTCACCCACTCACCCATGATAGTAGAGACGAGATAATCCGAGTACAAATGCTTAAGCAAGGAAAACTTTGAACTTTGAGCATGAGATCAATAAGAAAGGAGCTAAAGAATGTTGAACATGAAATCAATAAATGGGTCTATATATTTTTTTCTTTTTTCTTTTTTCTTTTTTTTTTCCTAGGTCATCTTTGTATTACAGAGAAATACAATTTTTTTTATTTTTATTTTTTTTAATCTTTATCCAAATGACACAGAGAAAACAAAAGTACAACAATGCACAGAAGTTAACAATGCAATAAAAGAAAGAAAGAAGCTGAGATGAAAAAAAAAAAAAAAAAAAAGAAGAGGACAAAGCTTATGTTAGGTATCCAAATTTAACCTGATCTGATACCATGTTGAAAGATATAAAAATTGAAGACAGAAATTAAATATGAAGAACAAAAGGATAGACACACAAAGCCCAAAGGGCTACATCACTTTTATTATATTCTCTCTCTTTTTCATACTCAATACAATGGTGGAGGCTCCTCTAAAAAGAAGAGTTTTTGGGTTTTTGGCTTACTCAAACCGAGAGCCAAGAGCTATATTTATATACAAGAATATGGTACAAAGAAAGGAAACCAAATCAAAGAAAAACAGGAAATATGCCAAAATCTACGCGATCCCATGATTACGGGTATCTTATTTACGTGATCCCATGATTATAAGAATCTTACATAAAACACCTAATAAAAGGCTAAAAACAGTTAATAAAAATAAAAATAAAAATAATATAGATATTTCAACACTCTATATAAGAAAAGAAATGATGATAGTGGAAAGAGAGAAAATAGGAAACAATATCAATACTAGAGGATTATTCTCCACTGATTCCTCTAGTAACGGTAAATCTTCAATAATAGGAAAGAGAATCAATACTGGAGGATTTTCCTCTACTGATTCCTCCAGTAAATCTTCAACACGTACTTATTCATCATTTTCCACAACATGAATGTAGTTGCTGCAATTAATATAAAGATAAGTTGTTGATATGGTTGTTATACAATTGCTGAATTCCGTTTTCAATATTGTGCTTCCTTTCAATATACTTTTAAGATTTGCTCACCTGCTTTGTATTGTATAATGCATGCACTTCTATTTGAATATTAGAACATTGTTTTGAGATTTGTTATCACTATCTTGCTATCCTAGCATTGAATTCACTTCTTTTTAAATGAATTTAGTGTATTGACTCCATACTACAAAGAAGATGTTCTTTATTCTGAAGAGGAGCTCAACAAGGAAAATGAGGATGGAATATCAACTTTGTTTTACCTTCAGAAAATATATCCTGGTGAGTTTGAAACCCATTGCTTCACTGTGGTTATCTTTAGGCAGAATAACTATAAAATTTATACTCTTTGATTGCCTATTGAAACTGCATACTAGATGAATGGAAAAACTTCCAAGATCGAATACATGATCCAAAATTCTCTGATGGCAAAGACGTGATGGAATCAACTCGCGAGTGGGTATCTTATAGAGGGCAGACACTTTCTAGAACAGGTTTGGATTAAACTAAACAGGTTCAACTCTCTCACTCTGGCAATGTGTATGTAGTAGTCTCAAGTTATGTTGTTATGCTCATGTGTTTCTTCCAGTGAGAGGGATGATGTATTACAGACAGGCTCTCGAGCTTCAATGCTTTCTCGATTTTGGTGGAGATAGTGGTTAGTGATTTTTGTCATAGATAATGTGTTACCGTTAAATGTCTTTTTGTCTTTCTTTTTGTGTTGGGTAGATTGTTCACACGCCCCTTTGTCCCATTGGGGACTCTTAACTCTCAACCTTCCTTTTGGAAGGAGGAGGAGATACCCCTTGGGCTAAGCCTGTGGTTGTCAAGTCACACATCTTCACCTTTTAGTTGCAATTCTATAAGATAAATAATGAAAAAAAAGTCAAGCTAATTGATTATGCATTATCCATGTGTCATTTGCAGCTATTTTTGATGGCTACCGGACCATTGCTATGAATATGGAGGATCATAGAGATTTTACGGATCGTGCAGGAGCTTTGGCAGATTTGAAGTTCACCTATGTTGTTTCTTGTCAGGTCTATGGTGCTCAAAAGAAATCCGGTGATAGTCGTGACCAAATCTGTTACCAGAACATTTTGAGTCTCATGTTAAAGTAAGTTATTCTCTTTGAAAGCAACTGTTCATAGCTGTCAATGGTGATCAGACATGTTGACATTCTAATCCTCCAATAAAATTTTCAGGCATCGATCTTTACGTGTTGCTTATATAGATGAGAGGGAGGAGATGGTTAATGGAAAATCTGAGAAGTTCTATTACTCTGTTCTGGTCAAGGGTGGGGATAAGTTGGACGAGGTACTATGTACAACAATAATTGAAATGCAGAAAAAGGGGATTATTTCTATTAAAGAAATGTCGTTTTAGAAATAATTTAGCAATAATGTTGATAACAATTGTTTTAGGTGGTGCCTTTTCAGGTCACTTGTTATAATATAAGCAGATAAGGAAATTATTTCTTTACATGTTGCTTATATATTTCCTTGCCTTTTGCACTGCTAGGAAATATATCGTATCAAGCTTCCAGGTCCTCCAACAGATATTGGTGAAGGGAAACCTGAAAATCAAAATCATGCCATAATTTTCACTCGTGGAGAAGCCCTGCAGACCATAGACATGAATCAGGTAATTTCAACTTTTGTTCTTTTCAATTGAAGATACCTTACCAAGTGACTTACTGTTCATCTTCAGGATAATTACCTTGAGGAAGCTTTCAAAATGAGAAATGTATTGGGGGAATTTCTGAAGTCTCATCATGGACAGCGAAGACCAACAATATTGGGACTAAGGGAGCATATTTTTACTGGAAGGTTGGCTTTACCATGTATACATGTAGATCTTCATCAATGTTATAGCTAGGATTAGATAAAGCAGCAAGAAGATTAAGAATATGCATGATAGTTACACATTTTCTTATTTGGTCCCTCTTTTGATTTACAGTGTTTCGTCACTTGCTTGGTTCATGTCCAATCAGGAGACTAGTTTTGTCACTATCGGGCAACGAATTTTGGCAAACCCTCTAAGGTAAGGCCGTCTCACCCGGCTCCCCTACCCTAACCCAAAAAAGAGAGAGAAAACAATAAAATAAATGAGATATTATGTTTAAAACAATTATCTTAAAATGTGACTTGCTCGATACTGTTGTTTGATGTGTATAGGTTTTTTGTCTGGATACGGATTTAGTAATATAAATTGCTTAGATAGCTATTATATTCTGTACAAACTCTCGATGTTATAGAAAGAAGATATGTTTTCTTGTGAAGCTTGAAAATATATTTTGGATATGGATTAATGCTCCGTTTGGTTGGAAGGAAGGATTGAGGAGGAAAGGAAAAGAGGAGGGATACGAGAGGCTTCCCTTGTTTGGTCGGAAGGAAGGGAAGAGAGGGAGGAAGCATCCCTCCTAACCACCAATTTTTTATCCACCCAAAATTGGGCGAATGAGAGGAGAGAAAGAATGAAAATTAACCTACAGTTATGTAATACCTATTTTAATCTTCATCAATTTACAAAATGACTTGTTTTAACCTTCATCTATTTTAACCCTACCTCGTGAGTTTTGCCCAAGCTGCCAGAGCAAATTCGAGAATTGGGTTCACCCTAATGTGAACTGTGTTGACAATAGACCCTTGGAAAGCAACCTGTAAATTTATACTTGACCCATTTGTTGATCAGTATAAACCTTTTTGGCTAGAAGTCATGGACAATTCGAACTACGTTGACAATAGACCCTTGAAAAGCAACTGGTAAATTTATACTTGACCCATTCATTGATCAGTATACACGTTTTGGCTAGAAGTCATGAACTCATAGTTAAGCATGAGTAGTCACCAGTCAATGTGCATGACTGATCAACTTGATTAATGAGGGACATCATCATTCTTGCCTTAATCCCATATGAATGGGGTTGGCCACATTAATTCTCTCTCTCCAAACTCTTCTATTACATGTCAATTCCAACCGGGGGTCCTTTGTAAAGTCAGCCGGAGTTCAAGTTTGATGATTTGATCCATTAGGTTCTTCGATTTGTTCAGAAAAGAAACGAGAGACAAGAAAACGTCTTTAATTATGATTAAAAGGAACAATCTCAAATAGACCAAGATCCAATTTCGAGTCATTTCTTGGTGAACATATCTGCCATAATCTCTTCGATCCCTTCATTTATGTGCCAGAATAAAGCGAGATTTGGTAGGAAAGTGGAATAAAGTTTTTTGTATATTATAAGAAAAGGGAGTGGAAAAGCAGCAGTTATTCTTCGAAAAAGCCCGGTTCTCTTTGTCTTCGAGCTTTCATTCCTGAATCCACTGATTCGTTCCTTCATATACCTCCCCACCAATAGATAGAGACAAATGGGAATAACTGAACCACATCTACAAAATGCCAGTACCATGCAGCTGCTTTAAAGCCAACGTGATGCTCCTTGGTTAGATTACCAAGATATTTGTGAATACCACATACAATCAAGAAAAGAGTACCTATAATCACATGAAAACCATGAAAGCCGGATGCTAAGGAAAAGGTAGAACCATAAATACCATCCGAAATGGTGGAGGGTGCTTGATAATATTCCATTCCTTGAAAGCCAGTGAATACTAGAGCCAGTGAAACGGTAGCTACTAAAGCATAAACTGCTCGTTTTTCCTTCCCCGCAAGTATAGCATGATGAGCCCAAGTTACGGCAGCTCCGGATGAAGGGGGAATAAGGGTATTAAGAAAAGGGATTTCCCAAGGATCTAAAGCCCAAATACCTTTTGGGGGCCAAATACCTCCGATCTCTGCTGTAGGTGCCAAAGAAGAATGAGAAGAAGCCCGATAAAGAGCAAAAAGGAACATAACCTCCGATACGATAAACAAAAGAAAACCATATCGAAGTCCTAATTGTACGACTTTGGTATGATGTCCTTCCAACGTGGATTCACGTAGAACATCGCGCCACTATACGAACATGGTATATAGGAGAAATATGAGGCCCAAACTGAGAAGTGTTGCACCCCCTTGAAATGGGTGCATGTACATCACACCTCCTACGGTGGTTGCCAAAACTCTGAGTGAACCCGAAATAGGCCATGGACTTGGATCTACCAAATGAGAAGAATGCCTATGAGATTCAATCATCAACCACTTTACCTCGGTTGTATGTAAACAACAACAACAACAACCCCCCCCGCCCCCCCCTAAAGTGAGTTTCTTTCTATCTGACAGGAAAAAGAAATAGGAAGGGATGGTTCTTTCATTGCATTGATAGAAGTCGAACTAGAAAAAGAGCTCTCTATTACTTTGAGAAGAGAATCGTTGGTTTGACTGACGAACTACGTGGGAAAATGGGCCTTCTTTCTAGGAAAGTAACAATTCCATTCAGTTCGGTTTCGGAAAACTTGCTGGTCTAGGATTAGTTCGTTCTGCGCCGCCGGTGGCCTAAAAGAAAGGCGCAAGTTGATCTCTTTGGTTGAGGCTGCATTCATTTATGAAACTTGATAGGTGGGAAGGGCTGACTCTCCCATTTCCTTTCGGCTTTTAGCCAAGTTCTAGCCCGTTCACTTATACCCAAAGAGGGCTCAATCTAAAGGCAGCCTTGACTATGGCCATCTAATCTATAGAAAGTGTATCCGGACGTAGTCAAGTTTGTGAATGTTCCACTTTTCAACTTCTCTCTTTGGTGGTCACCTATATATACACTTGTTCGCGCAAACACTGAAAACGATGATTACAGCCTTCACTGTTCTTAGTTAGATCAGAAGAGTCCACCAACGGATGGCGCTCCAGTTTTGACTCGTGAAGGGTCGTATCGTATGGGAAAGATTCAAGAGTCTCTATTAAGAAACGTACGGGGTTATAAGGAAGAGCTCCTCAATGCCGATTCTAGCTAGCTGGAAACCGGTTTTGATCCATATCTAAGGGTTGGACCCAAATAGGACTCAAAAGTGAAACCAAGAATGATATTCGCGCTAGGTCCATAGCTTCACTTCGCCCTTAGCCTCGGTTAAGTAAAGGTATCCCTTCCTTGATGCTAAGGGTAGGGTAGTGGATGGAGTGAAGTCTCTGCAATTGCTCGGTGTAAATTACAAGGCGGGAGGCTCAGCTGTACGACCCTTACTAAACAACAATAGGCCAGATCACTCTTTTAGAGCTCATAGAAGAGTAGTGGTTAGAACATCTTCTTGTGAGTGTGGATGTGATTTTCTAGGCTTTCACCATCCCAGTCGTACATAGACTTGCATGTATTAAGCCGCTTGCTGTCGTGTTAGCTCTACTAAATCTAATGATCAAGGATTTTCACTACTGGTGAGGACCTAAACTTAAGGCATTCATCGAAATGCCCGAAGAATCCAATAGTTTTCTGGCCAGCGTACGAGTAGAGCTCTGCACTTCTAGCAATGTCCCCGAAAAACTCCTACTTTACCCCTCACTTCTTTTCCTCAATGCATTAGGTAATTCTGCTTTTAACGCAGGGGTATGTTGACAAAGAAGCACTTCGTCATGCTGAAGTTGATCCCATCTTCATCGGATGATCCTAAACCTACTACGAAATAACAACTATGCAAGCAACTTCTAAACGAACTCCTTTCCGACCTTCTATTAACCAATCACTTCAGTGTGGTACCGCCAGGAGTACTTAACGAGGTACTTCAAGCACGAATCAAAGTGCGGATGTTCTAAGTCTAAGCCTAGGATCAGTCTCTAGGCCTTCGAGCAAGGTCTGAGGCAAAGGGAAAGGGGAGTCTTAGCTCACGTTTCCAAGAGTTCCGTTCCATTAGTTGTTTCAGAATCTTTTGTGTGGATATGAATTGGTATCTGAGCTGTTTCGAATTCTTCATATTGATGCTGCTCAGATGCTTCTTGTTGAAGCCTTCACATAAGCATCCCATGTTATTTTTTGCCGCCTTCTCCGTCTCTTACCTTCTATTACAAACAGTCTTCCTTGTTTGACCAGCGTGTCACTAGGTCTCCGATGTTTATGTCCAAACCATCTAAGTATACTCTCTCGAATTTTCTCCCCAATGGGTGTACACCTAATTTTCCTCACACTGTCATTAGTGACTCTACATCTTCTAGTCACTCCATTCATCCATCTTAACATTCTCATTTCCGCTACATGAAGGTGGTGGTGTTGTTTCTTTTTTAGGGCTCAACGCTCTCGATCCATACAACATAATTGGTCTAACAACGGTCCTACAGAACTTTCCTTTTACCTATGTGTGATTCTTTTATCACATAAAATTCCACTAGTTTGCCTCCATTTTGTCCACTCCGCTCCAATTTTACTTGTTACATCACTATTTATCTCTCCATCCCTTTGTATTATTGATCCTAGATACCGAAAGTGCTTGTTTTGAGTAATCCATTGGTTTTGAAGTGCTATCATTATATTATCGATATCTGAATCATTATAAAATTTTCATTCCATATACTTGGTCTTAGTTGACTAATTCTCAAACCTTTCGATTCTAATGCATTTCTCCACGTCTCTAATGTTATTGCCAAGTTCTTTTAGAGATATGCAAAGGCACAATATCATCAGCAAACATCATTCCCCATGGAATCTCATTTTGGAATTCTTTTGTTATTTCATCTAAGATTATTGCGAATAGATATGGGCTCAAGCACTGATCCTTGGTGCAATCCTACTTTTATGAAAAACTTAACTAGTGTCACCACACATGGTATAAACTTTAGTTTTTGTATTCAGATATATATCTTGGATAATTTTTATGATTTGTAAGGAAATTTGTTTTCTTTGTAAGGCCCACCAAATTATATCTCTCAGGACCCTATCATATGTTTTTTTTTTTTCTAAATTTATAAAAACCTTATATAGATCTTGTTGCTTACTCCTATATTCTTCAACTAATTGTCTAAGCAAGCAGATAGCTTCCATTGTTGAATCCGAGTTGGTTATCGGATACCGTGGATTCTTTCCTTAGTCTTTTTTCTATTATTCTTTTACATTTTTATATTGTATGACTCATTATATTAATTCCTCTATAGTTGCCACAATTTGGTATATCCCCTTTTATTTTTGTAAA